ATGAAAATATGTCCAGTAAAGCAAAATATTATCTGTCCACTAAAAGAAAAGATATTTCATTTTTTGTGATTTTATAGCATGGGGTCTATGGGGAATCTCCCCGAGCTAGAAGTCACATTTTCAAAGAAAATTAATTTTTCAAAGTTGATAAACACTTTTTAAAACCACATTTCTAGATGTAATTTTACATGTAGATTTCAAATATGATATTAGCTTGACTGAATTTTGAATTTTTTATGACGTAAATCAAGATTATTTCTACTCGCATCTGGGTTATTGTTACTAACTTGTTTATAAAGTATGTCTTTAATCAGCTCTCAAAGGGATTTACTTGATATTTCATACTCATAAAATAACATGATGTCCATATGATTTGTATCCTCCAACACATGCTCAACACATTCAATTTACTAAGAAATAAGATATTATTGAGAATTTATATTACAATCATTTAAATACTATATCAAATTTGTTTCATTTCTCAAAATAATCATTTGAAATCGTATTGGTGCATAGCTGAAATCTTCCTGTTTAGAGGATACAGACTATTGGACAACAAAACCTAAATTCACCACGAAAATAACAATATTTCGTCTTGATATTTTATTGTCTGTCATTTAAAAGGTACCCCCTCGGAGCACTTTCTGGCGAAGCTTTCAACAAAGTATCCATCAAAAACGTATCAACTTCGTTTATTCAAGCAGTGTCTTGGAGGATACAAATCCCGATACAAATCATATGAACATAATAAAATATATTCTGTGTGTTGATCATGAAACAATCCCTGTTTGAGAGCAGGTTGCAAACAAACTTTATTAACAAGTTGGAAATTATCAGCACATGATACGTTATTGTTATTTATGTTATTGATATTAACAAACAAAAGCAATAGTTTCAGTATAATATATACCGCATGGCCATGATAGCCAGTTGTCTTGGTATTATGCAAACATTAAATATCTTTGATATTAACACACATGGCACAAACTTTAGTAGAATAACAGAATTTGACTATATTTGAATATCAATTATCGTAAATTTGCCTATAGAACACTTTGGGTGGGATGATGCAAAATATCCTGAATATATGAATCGATCTTTTACCAAAATAAAGACACCTTTTCACACCATCGATCGATTGATATTAATCATAATCAAAATTGATTTCGTGAAAGTTGAAAATCAAACAACTTTAATTGCTTTGTTTGATGCCTTATCATGCCTCTAACCCAACTTTGCTATGTAGTACCTGACGGGCGCCGTCTATGTATGACAAAGCTACAATATAACCATGAATGTATCTTTGTTTATAAATACTCTTTAATTACAATAGAACAATAATATCGTAATCTAATGAGGAGAACGTTGCAAAAGTGCAATATGAATCAATTATTGTCATCCGGGGCTTTTTCATTTATTTGAACTACTGAACTGGTTTTATTCCGATTAAATGACTTCAAATGACATAACTGTCAATGACGAGATCTGAATTATTAGATTTATACTTACGTTACGTAATAACAGTTGTTGAGCAAGCTATGGCTAAAACTGTTCGCTCCATTGCTTGAAAATTCCTTTGGTACTGCGAAAATGTCAAGAATATGTTTCCAGAAAAATCAATTATATGTGACATTTACAGAGCTCATTTTTAGTAGTAGAGGTTTTCATTAAGTTTCTTCACACTTCACACACTCTGAGTTTGTGTGTAATTGTAAATATTCTTTATCTACACCCTGTACTTTAATACATCGGGCCAATGGAGGAAGGTTGCATAATCATGATTTTGCGCTGTCATTACGTAACATTATCTCATGATTACGTAATCGTTTCTTTGGTATACAATTACGCAAGCTCTGATCGATAGATAGCCGTCTCCCCATGCCAAAAAGGTTAAATTGTAATATGTTATATTTTATGTAATAAAATCTATAAAAACGTACACATGTTCTTTGGATATAAATGGAGGAAATACCTCTCCTGCATCGTACCATTGAAATACCAGTTAACATTTCAATAAGGGTGACATACTATTGGTTTTGCAGTTTGATACGACGATAATATACAAAAGGAAATAGTACCAAGAGAATAATAAACTGAACTCCAAACTATTTTATTATCTTTGTTAAAGCCTAGAATGTTTCCTAAGGGCCTTTCCTCTTTTTCACAATAATGATTTACTGTATCGTAAACCATAATAAGTCAATTGTAAGATATCATTAGCTTCCCAAATTGCTTTCTTAGCATACATTATGATCTATAAAGAGACAACTTTTTATTTTTATTTTCATTTCACGAAATTTATTGAAAATTATGTTGTTAAATGCACCTATGCAACTAAATCGATCGACAATGTAACACTATATCATCTTTATGTAGAGGTGTCCCTGGGATCAGGTCCTCTGACGCTATCTGACTACTATCGAAAATACAGGGTGTTTCATATTGACCACCCCCATTATCAGCTAATCTTAGATTATATACTCCCATATGTTACATATTATATAAAAACTGTCCACCTCTGATCTGGATTTTGTGTAACAATATTCACGGGTAGTATCTAAAGCCCCGCTATGATTTAAAAATCGCGAGCAAGTTCCCGCTGAAATCGCGAGGAATAAAAAGAAGTCATGGGTTCTTTTTCTGTTCTTGAATTGTATGATTTACAAAACGTTTTCTTTTAATTTTTCCCAATGATTACATGGTATTGAGACTAAAAAAGCAACTGCTGGAAAAAATGTATCACGAACGGTCGTTCTGTGGTTCGTTATTTGTCAATTGAAGAGAGAAAGTATCATTTTGAATCTTTATCTATATATTTCTATACGTTATTGGTGAAGAACGATGTTGTCCTGTGGTTGAAATAACGATAGTGATATGAAATAAAGATGTACCGAGTTTCACTTCCTAAAGCTTTACAGAACATTTTATATTTAAATTTTATCATATCCCTCAAGGCCCCGCTTCTAGCAGGAGCAATTAAGTAAAGATCCCGCTGAAATCAGGAGGAGGCCCCGCTGAAAACATGAGGAGGTCCCGCTGAAAACAGGAGCAAGTGTCTCTCAAAAATGGAGTGAATCCCGATTATACCCTGAAAATTTTCCACTTTCGTACCCACCTTGATTCCCTATATAGTTCATATTATGATACGTTGTTATGGAAAACTGCAGTATCATATTTCCATGCCATTTTACAGAATAAGAAAGATCATCTGAGAAATGTGATGAGTATTAGATTGGACGAAATGTTAAACATTTAACCTCATTTTCATAATTTGAAGTAATATAAGTTATTGAATGATTTGAAGTGCAATATAGGATATATTGTGCTCAAAAAATTCTATATTGGCACGAGATGAAATCATTTGGAAATACAGCATATCGAGAGCACAATATATCCTATGTTGCGTTTCAAATCGTTGTATAACGTTTTTTTATCGTGTGATCTTACTACGCAGTCCATAGGAAATATTCTGTATTCTATGTATCGCAACTGTCCCCTCTGTTCCATCTTTGACTACAAGTCGATATTCAGTAAGATACATGAATAAGCGTGCGTTTAGGTCAACATAAAATGATTTAGTCAGAATAGATTTTATGAATATTATTCCTTTATCAATCTCCTCTTGCTTACTTGCTTGCTCGCTTCCTCCCTTCCTTGCTTCTTCGCTTCCTTCCTTGCTTCCTGGCTTCCTTCCTCGCTTCCTCACATCCTTCCTTCCTCACTTCCTTCCATCCTTGCTTCCTTCCTTCCTCGCTTCCTTCCTTCTTTGCTTCCTTGCTTCATTCTTTCCTTGCTTCCTCACTTCATTCCTTCGCTTCCTCCCTTCCTAGCTTCCTTCCTTCCTCACTTCCCTCTTTTCTTTCTTGCTTCCTTCCTTGCTTCCCTCCTCGCTTCCTTCCTCGCTTCCTTCCTTCCTCCCTTCCTTGCTTCCTCACATTCTTGCATCCTCCCTTCCTCGCTTCCTCCCTTCCTTGCTTCCTCACTTCCTTCCTTCTTCGCTTCCTCGCATCCTTCCTTCCTCGCTTCGTTCCTTCCTTGCTTCCTTCCCTCCTTGCTTCCTTGCGTACTTTCTTCCTCGCATCCTTCCTTCCTTGCTTCCTCCTTTGCTTGCTTCCTCCCTTCCTTGCTTCTTTCCTTCCTTGCTTCCTCCCTCGCTTCCTTCTCTCCTCCTTCCTTGCTTCCTCGCTTTCTTCTTTCCTTGCTTCCTCGATTCCTTCCTTCCTCACTTGCACCCTCCCTTCCTTGCTTCCACCCTTCCTTGCTTCCTCCTTTGCTTGCTTCCTCCCTTCCTTGCTTCTTTCCTTCCCTGCTTCCTCGCTTCCTCCCTCGCTTCCTTCTCTCCTCCTTCCTTGCTTCCTCGCTTTCTTCTTTCCTTGCTTCCTCGATTCCTTCCTTCCTCACTTGCATCCTCCCTTCCTTGCTTCGACCCTTCCTCACTTCCTTCTTTCCTCCTTCCTTGCGTCCCCGTTTCCTTCATTCTTTCCTCGCGTTGTTCTTTTGTCGCTTCATTCCTTCCTTGCTTCCTTCCCTCCTTGCTTCCTTGCTTTCTCGCCTTCTTCCTTCTTTCCTTACTTACTTCCTTCCTTGCTTTTTTCCTTCCTTCCTTTCTTGCGTCTTTGCTTGCTTCCTTCCTTCCTTGATTCATCGTTTCCTTCCTTCTTTGCTTCCTGGCTTCCTTTCTTCCTCTTTCCCTTCCTTGCTTCCTTCCTTGCTTCCTCAGTTCCTTCCTTTCTTGCTTCCTCGCATCGTTCCTTCCTTGTTCCCTCGCTTCCGTCCTTTCTTTCTTCCTCAGTTCCTTCCTTCCTTGCTTCCTCGCTTTTTTCCCTCCTCGCTTTCTCGTTTCCTTGCTTCCTTCCTTCCTTCTTTGCTTCCTCGTGTCCTTCCTTCCTCGCAATCTTTCCTTCCTCACTTCCTACCTTGCTTCCTCGCTTCCTTCCTTTCCTCGTTTCCCTCTTTCCTTCCTTGCTTTTTTCCGTCCTCGCTCCCTTCTTTCCCTCTTCTTTGCTTCCTCGCTTCCTTCACAAATTTCTTCCTCACTTCCTTCCTTTCTTCCTTCCTTCCTTGCTTCATTCCCTCCTTCCATGCTTCCTCGCTTCCTTACTTGCTTCCTCGCTTTCTTCCTTGCTTCCTTCCTTCCTTGCTTCCATCCTTCCTCGCTTCCTTCTTTCCTCATTCCTTGCTTCCTCGCTTCTTTCGTTTTTTTTCTCGCGTCCTTCCTTTTTCGCTCCATTCCTTTCTTGCTTCCTCGCTTCCATCTTTCCTCCTTCCTTGCTTCCTCGCTTCCTTCTTTCCTTACTTCATCGCTTCCTTCCTTACTCACTTCCCTCCTTCCTTCCTTGCTTCCTTCCTTCCTCACTTCCTCCTTTTCCCCTTCCTTGTTTCCTCGTTTCCTTCATTCTTTCCTCGTGTCCTTCATTTCTCGCTTCATTTCTTCCTTGCTTTCTTCCCTCCTTGCTTCCTTGCATTCTCGCCTTCTTCCTTCCTTCCTTACTTACTTCCTTGCTTTTTTCCTTCCTTTCCTTGCGTCTTTGCTTGCTTGCTTCCTTCCTTGCTTCCTCGTTTCCTTCCTTCTTTGCTTCCTGGCTTCCTTTCTTCCTCGCTTCCTTACTTCCTAGCTTCCCTGCTTAATTCTTTACTCGCATCGTTCCTTCCTTGCTCCCTCGGTTCCTTCCTTCCTTTCTTCCTCAGTTGCTTCCTTGCTTGCTTCCTCGCTTTCTTCCCTCCTCGCTTTCTCGTTTCCTTGCTTCCTTCCTTCCTTCCTTCCTTCATTGCTTCTTTCCTTCCCTCCTTCCTTCCTTTTTCCTTCCTTGCTTTCTTATATTACTCCCACCTTCACTTCTTCAATTTATTTCCTCTATTCCTTCTTTACTTGCTTGCTAACTCAATGACTTACTTCGTTGCTTGTTTACATCCTCACGTCCTTGCTTGCTTTCTTGATTATTTACATTCTTTCATATGGCAGTGGAAAGACAAATTTTGATGAAAACCAGCAAACGAACAAACGAACGAGGAAAGAACGCACGGATGGACAGAAGAACAGCCGAAAAAACAATGAATGAACAAACGGACGGATAGGCGGCCAAAAGAACGCATGAAGGAAAGATAGAAGAAAACAATTTACAAAAGACCGAACCCACGCACGCAAGAACGTAGTTACAAACGAACGCACGAATGAACGCACGCACGAACGAACACACAAACGAACGCAAAAAGAACGAACAGACGAACGCACGCATGAATGGACGGTTGAACGAAAGCACGCACGAACGGACGGCTAGACGGACGAAACCACGAACGAAAGGGCAGTCAGACGAAAGCAAGCACAAACGGACGGTCAGACGAACGCATGCGCACACAAACGGACGGACAATCGCACGAACGGATGCACGCACGAACGAACGAATGGACGGTCGGACGAACGCTGCCACGAACGCATGATTGGGCGATGCACGCACGAACGATCAATCGGTCGGATGAACGCAGGCATGAACGAACGGACCGTCGGACGAACGCACGCACGAACGAACGGTCGGTCGAATGCACGCACGAATGAACGGTCGGACAAAGAAACCAATGAAATATATGTGTCCTCAGAAGTATAATCCTTGGAATAGTTAATTATGTAGAATGTACATTTAACTCTGAAATGTACGAAGTCTATTTACATATAAAATTTTGATCATGCCGCTGACAGATGGATTAGACTGCCTGAAGTTGAAGAAGAAATATTTGTGATGTTGCCATAGAATGATATGTTATGTGATTGTCATTAATACGTTATTTGCACATTCGTGTACGTTCATATAAAGAAGCTCACTATATTCATGGAATAATGATGAAGCTTTCCTCGTGATCGAAGCGGGTAGTCGTGAAATTTGCTCGTGTTTTCAGCGGGGTCTCCTCATGTTTTCAGCGGGGCCTCCTCATTTTTTCAGCGGGGCCACTGGAACACCTTTAATAATGTATTTCGACCCCCATGGCAGGTGTCATTGTCCAGTAACTTATCAATACAGACCATCTTGATCCGATATTTATTATGGAGTATGTAAATCGTATTTATTGCCTTTATTTTAACGATAAAGGTAATATATGAACAGTAAATTATGCAAACGTGCATGTTGACGCCCCTTTCCTTCATGCAAGTAAAACATAATCATTTTTCATGTCATTTTTTGTCAAATATATCTGTTTTCAAAGTTTTGCTGGAGTATCAAAGAACGGTAATAAGTATTTTCATCATTTTGGTTCATTTTCCAAAGTGATACAAATAAACAGGACTATGCTCGCGATTTCAGCGGGAACTTGCTCGCGACTTTTCAATCATAGCGGGGCTTTAGATACTACCCGTGATATTGTATAAGCTCGAGAGTTTTTACAACTTGTTACACATCTCTACAAAATATACACAGTTGACGTTTAGCATATACACCGAGAGCCAAACGGTCTCAGAAAGGATATGTGAATTTTGCTAACAAGTAACAAATATGTCAACAATGTCTCAATGCACCAATGTAACTATAAACTATTACGAAAAGTTATGAAAATACCCCCTCACAAATGAACGAATCCACTAAAAAAGTCTTGCCAACTGGATAAATTGTCAATTATGGTGATAGGGAACGTAAATGTGCGAACCGAAACTTTTCGGCGTTGACATTCCATATTTATTTTTCTTTCAGAGATTTATGCAATGAATGATGAATCTCTTTCCTAAGATATTCATGATCTATATGCAAAGTGATTACAACGAATTTGGGAAGTAATTCATAGAGAACCTTGATTTTCCACGTTGACGTATGAAAGTTATAAAACGTGTAGCTTATCGTCCCCCAAATCACTTATATTGTTGTCAATTGATAATGCTTTCGATAGCTTCAATATGAAAATGCAATTTGATACAATATCTCTTCAATTTAAAACCCATCGCCGTATGCAATATAAAGAGTCTCGCAATTATGACATGTTTGAATTTGGAAGGTTATATGTCACAGCATTTTAAAAGTATACGTGAACGTGAGCTATAATGGCCACAGAATTATTGTCTCTCTCTCTAATGCTTTTTCCAGGGACCTTTTTCTATATACATTTATACTCAATCGGACGAGTAAATACTACTTCAAAAACTAACCCCTACAGAGCCATTTTTCTTCAAGTCCATGTGTTAGTTCTCTTAAAAGTGTAAAGCTTGATTGCAGTTAGTGAGTCTAATTCAGTTTTATCTGGATCAATTTAATTATTTTTAGCGCATTTGTTATAAGATTGATTTACAAACAAATTGATTGTGATAGTGATTCGGCTATAACCAGATAACACAAATGTTCAAAATATTTTTTCGTTTGATATTGTAACGTTTGGCTTACATTGGCCCATAGGCGATCAATCTTATTTGATTTATGAACGAATAATTAGACTGTTCGGTTTATTTGGTTTCTCATTACAAGTAAGCCCTAAACAAAAAATATATAATTACAAATGTCAAAAATACATGATAAGTGTTTGATGTAAATTGGGCCCGACAGTCCCATTAGCTTAGTAATTGGCCATAAATTGCAGTATCTATACCAATACTTTCAGATTGTCAATTCCGTAATAAGATTGTCTGCGTCATTTACTATATTTATCAATGTCAGCGGGGGTTATTACATAAAGTCCTTTAAGTTAAAAGTTCCTTTTAGGTTATTGTTACTACAGGTTTGGTTCAGCACAACGGATTTAATGACGTCATAGTAAAATAACAACGGAGCTAGAAATCTTAACTGTTAGGATCACTGGTTGAGTTTGAGCTTCAAGTAAAATCTGTCGTTTAGTATTCCCAAGTTTGAGTATCAAAAGAGTAACCTGAACTCGATAACTTAGATCTGACGCAATCTATATCGAGAGATGTTTGTCATCCACGACTGATAATACAAAGGTTTAAAAAGATTTGCAATATTTGTTCATCGATGACATGAAATCCATTTCAATGTTTAATTTACAAGCACAAATGGACTAGATGTGCACCTCAACGCGGAACCCGTCAGGAATGTTCTGTCTGAACGAAGTAACCTTCAATACATTTCCAAATACCCTTTGCATTCGTTTGACTTCACTTCTTAAAATAGAGCTTCGTCTTGTTTAACTAGACTCTGCACGCAGGGTATTTCCAAATGAATTGCACGCTGTTGGCATGTGAAAATAGGCGTATTAAACAGCCTGCGAGGGAGGGTCAATGTATACAAATTTGGCAGGGTTGCTTAGATGAACCCTCAGGTATCAATATGTTCCCATACCAATCTGTCAAATTTCAATGTGTTTCCATACCAGCCAAAACAACGCCCAAAAGCAATATGTACAAATGTCCAAATATAAAACCAATGTACGTTATAACAAAAGTCCAAATATAGGACAATTGACATACCAAATATCCAGATATAAGACCAATGCCATTCAAAATGTCTAAACCCCTGAGAAGAAAGCAGATCTTTGAGGGAAACGATCCAAAACAACCTCAAAAGAATATGTGTAGAACTACTTGACATAACACAAGTTAGAGGCAACATTATTACCAGAAAATGCCATACCATTGCCATACCTCAAAAGCTTTGTGGTCATTTCCATACCAAATCCTAGAATTAGGGTCCATACCAGATCTCTAAACGTACCTCACGTGAGCCAAGGATCTCCGTCAAGGTATATTATATACAGGGTACCTAGTGTTGAACGGTGCGAAAACGAATGTGGATATAAGATATGAACAAGATTTATGCTATATGAATACAAATGGGGATTACAAGTCCATCATTCTGATACTCATCACATCTTTCTGGATTCAACTGGAAATATGCTAAGAGAGAGAGAAGCTAATAGAAGGCCATGATTTCTCATGATATAGGCCCATTTAGCATATTTTATCTGGTATAGTTCTAATTGTTAACCGAGTGTTTTTGAGGAAATAAATGACAAAACATAATATGAACATGTTAGTTTATTGGGAGTTACGATATTAAATATTGTTTTTTAATTTTGTTCCCTGAATCGACAGCAATCGACGTTAAACAAATCAACAAAACTCAATGACCGAATTTTCCATGAGAATATACAATTACACGTCGCACGAAACTGGGGACAATTAGCGTAACATTATGGCGTCAAAAACCAAGACAAAACAATGAGCAGCATAGGGCGCAAACAGCCTTACAACCTCAAAAACGACAAGCGTCACATTTTTGTCAAGTTAAGTCAACCTAAAAATAAAATACTTTATCCTTATCTAATCATGACAAAATTCACAGGGTAGCAAGATCTCGAGAACAATATTTCTAAAATGTTTTTGAATTTTTGAAAACGGTCAAGAGATCCACTTGGGGCGTTGGTAAAAATTGATATGTATGGAATTTGTGGTAAAAAATCGATGCATCACATTTTTTTCAAGTCTCGAAAACCAGCTCTTATTTTAATATTATTTGCAAAATAAACAAACTGATTATTGTTTTGTAAATTTCGCCATGACAATATTGTTCAATTAATTTTTCTTTCAAATCAGACTTAAATTAGAAGGTTAAATGAAGGTCAACTTATTGCTCGTCCCATTCGCCTTTAAAACCTTACACAATTTTGAAAATTTTAAAAGCGTTTATATACGATAATTTGAGCGGGAGCCGTTAAGCAATCGTGACGTCATAAATGAATATGTTCCATTGAATAAATTGTGAAATTTTAGTGGGATTTTGATCATTATTTCAAAAGTTATCCCAATTTCAACGAGCCCTATAAGCGTAAAGTGTTACGTCTTACAGCGTATTTGACGATGTCGGGATATTTTTAACTTTAAAAAAATGTTGGATCCCATCAAAATTTTGAAGGAAAAATAATTTCACTGAAATGCGAATAAAAAATACTTTAAAATGATATATGAAACACATAGTTAGCTTTTTAAATAAGGCAGAGATTAACGCTCAAAGCTGAGATTAGCCCGTATTTCCCGAATTGTCCCCAGGTCCGTGCACGTCATAAATACCTTTTTCTGAGTTTAGGTAAAATACCGCTTAGTGTAATAACAAACTACGTATAAGTATAGGTAAAGTGGTTATTTACGCCATGGGCTCTACCAGAGCCCATGTTTACGCTAATCTTAAACTCCCTATAATGTGGGCTTCTCGTCAGGAAAGATCTTCTCGGACAACAAACATAAATACCCGCAAAGATATAGTATACATCAACTCCAAAAAAAACATATTGCTATAACAAAGAAATATATGAATAAGTATACG